TTTTATTTAGGGATGAATTTAGGGAACCTGATTTGTGGTAAATGATAGACATTCAAAGTATTGATCTGTATCATATAGAAACAAATACTACGTCCCACTATTATTAACTTCCGTGTCAACTATTATGTGGCTTTGCTTTTTTGTACGGACATTTTCACTTCTTCAACCTGTGGGTGTTACAAGGTGCCATGGGTCTTCCCTATTCATTAAAGTAAGAAATAGGGTAATCAGAAGTAGATTGGCATCACGAATATTACCCTGGTTATTATATTTTTCAGATTAGTTGATAATGAAAATTGGTATATTTTGAAATATATATATATTCTATGGGTGAAGATTTCTATAGAAAATATTAGGTCAGATGGGCCGTTGTTGCTAGACTTAATAATAAAACAAAATATTATTTTCCCCTAAACCAGAAACACTTCTAGATTCCGATTCTTATTACTAAAACGAACTGCAAGATTGAAAAATAGTGATGAAATTTTATTTTTCTCAAAAAAAACACATGTGAAATGAAATGTTTCTAATTTGGTAGATACGAATGATTACTTTTCTTAAATATCTATTATTAACACGTAGAATTTCTCTGCATTTTGTGAACACTAGAGGCCTCCTGTGAAAGAGTTGAACTTAAATATTATAGGAAAAATTCGTTTAATAAAAAATTTGGCCTACTGTTCAATATATTAAATTTAAATATATTGCTAAAATTATAAACTCATAAAATTAAAAATATGGAATTCACGAAAAGATTTCTCGATAAACAACGTTATCCGTTACAGTTTGCCCGTTATCCATTTGCCCCGTCTAGTGGTATCTTGTACTTGAATTTTTAAACAATTAGATTTGGTTGCCCTTGAACATCCTGTATAAAACTGACCGTAAGAAAAGCACGGTTCAGGAAGATAGAGGCCGACTTTATCAAAAGTTTGACCTTGAGACTTATTTATTGTCATCGCATATTTAAGACAAACTGGAAACTGATGTCTAACGAAATTGAATGGAAGTGCTGGATCATTCGATGTATCCAGAGAAATTCTAGGAATAAAATGAACAGTTCCGGAAAATGAACCAATAATAATTTCTAATTGAAGCACGTTTGGACGAAAGGCTCTAACAATCATTCTAGTTCCATTGCATAAGCCTTTGTTTACCGACAGATTTATTAAAAGCACCACTATACAACCGATTTTTAAATTTAATTTATATTGTGGTAATCCAGATGGATTCAAAATATTTAGAAATTCTACTGGAATATTGACTTGTAAATCATGATCTTCTGCACCATCATCATTTTTTACAGAGTCAATCACGTAAAAACTCATTTGTTCAACATTTTTTAAATTTATCAAAACGCGTTCATTAATTAATCGAACATCTTCGTTTCTTGGGCAGAGAATTGAGTGTTTTGAAAAGTTTTCAACATCAGCATAGGTAAAACTATTACCAAAAATATCGGTAAGTATGTCATTAGATATGAAAGAAATCGGAACTTCAACTGAAAATTGGTTTTTCGGTGTTGGTGGTGAAGGTATTGTTCCATCACCAATATCTAAAAGCCATTTAGAAAAATCAGGATCTGTGATAGCTCGCATATTGCGTTTTAATTTGAATGTTAAAAAAAGGGGCCAAACAGAGGATTTTTTGATCGTTGAAGCAATGATTGCGCATCGAGATTCTTTTTTAATAACTGTCAGAACTTGCCGAAAGTCGCCTCCTAGCACAACAACTTTTCCACCAAAAGGTGTTTTAATGCCCATTAAATCTTGAAATATTAAATCAATGATTTCTAAAGCTGTGCCTGGTGCCATGGGAGCTTCATCCCAAATACGCAAATCTATCGATTTCAAAAATTCCTTTTTGGTTTGAGTAAGTCTAGGAAATTTTACAGAAGTAAGGTCTAAGGGTAAACTAAAAGCTGAATGACATGTAATGCTACCTGGTAATAAAGTAGCGGCTATTCCTGCCCGTGCAATGATTAATGATTTTTTACCAATGAGATTAACTTTTTGGATTAGAGCACGATACAAAAACGTTTTCCCGCTTCCACCGGGCCCGTCTATATAAAAACATTTCTGCGAGTTCAAATCAACTACGGATTTTAAAATAGCATCCACAGCCAAAAGTTGATCACTATTAAGATCATTCCATAATAAATTATTCCTATCAATAGTATAGTTAACTAAATTATCTTCACGATCTGAAATATCTTCGAAATTAAGAAATGGTAAAAATTGATTAAAATCGAAACCATAACCTTGGATTTGCGTTCGTATGTCATTAACACATCATTTTAGAGATTTTTCCGTGCTGTTTCCTTGTTGAATGAAATCTTCAAAAAGTTGCAAAGGATCTGCAGGATTACAATGACAAATAATTGTAACTAATAATGATCGTAAAGATTTAGGCATCATATAACTTGATGCTTCGTACATATAATGATACCACTCTTTAGAATCGTTAATTAAACCTCTAACTTGTACTGCTTCTTTGTATGTCGCATAGGTTTGTCCATTAAATTTTTTGAGATTGTCAAAAGATGTAGCGTCCCCATCTTTCACTGAGAGCAAAATTAAGCGAAGATGATACAACTCTACATCTTTGGGAGATACAGAAATAATTTTACCTATTGCTTTTTCCTTGTGATGAGACAACGCTAAACGTTTAACCCATTTTTTATTTTTAAATACATAATGATTAGGAATATCTTGGTATAAATATTGATGAGCACCCAAATCTGAAACATTTAAATCAAAGTAGGCAGTTAAAGTCGTGCATGCGGCTGACTCTCGTCGCAAAGCAGTTTCAGCTTGATTCTCTTTGAAAAAAATGGATTGGCCATCTTTCAAATGAATAGACAATATGACGACACTATGAGATTGACCTTGAATAGGAAAATCTTGAAGATGCCAGGCTGCTTCTTGAGAACTAATATAACGACAATTTAAATATTGTTTTATTTCGTCATAATCAACAACTTTTCTACATTGACGTTTGAATTTACTTGGACGCCTATTCGAGCACAGCAGTAACCCTTTGTAATATATTTGTGAATGTATTTGATAGCCTTAACAGTTGAACATAGTTCAACATTGATATGAACATTATATTTAAGACTTAAGGGGACCCCCCCCTTTCCGAGGTTTCTCGAGAACGGCTCCGTGAAATTTTCTGAAACTTTCAGAGTAGATAGATCTCGATGAGTAGAGCAAAAGTTGTCATAGGCTCAGAATTCGAAGATGCTGCCTTCCCAGAGATATTTGCGATCCAAGGACGAAAAATGACCTGAAGTTTCCCCCCCCCCCCCCGCAAAACTCTTATACTGCATTGTTTAGAGCTGAAATTTTTTCTGCAGAATCTAGGAACAAATTGGGGCGGCCGTGTTTTTTTCTTCGAAAAATATCGTTCCTAAGGGTCAGGAGGACCAAATTACTGACGGCACTATCAAAAAATGCGATTTTTTTCGTTTTTTTCTTATAGTGCAAATTTTGTGGTACCTAGTAAAATTCCTTAAGAAGAATATTTTCAAGAGAAAAAAAAACGGCCACCCCAAATTATTCGAAGTATTCACAGTTAAAATTTCAGACCGATTGATTGCGGCGCGAGAGGAGAAAAGGGGGGAAAACTTCATTTTTGTGCTGAAAAAACTGATTTTGAGAAAAACGCAAAGAAATTTCTGTTTTTTGGTTTTTTCAGCATATTTGGTGATTTTTTCGAAGTTTTTTATATAAGATGTGGGTTTTCAGTTCTCAAAGTGTACTCAATGGATAGAGGGCACTTAAATCTATATACTAATCACAAAAAATGAAAAACAAAAAGTGTGAAAATTTTGAGTCGGGAAAGGAGGGGGTCCCCTTAAAAATGAATTATATGGTTGACAACAAAACGATTATCTACTTGAATATTATTATGTGTAAAATGAGCTTCGTTAGAATTATTTCGGCGTCTATATATTGGATAACCATCTGTAGATACATCAGTTTCATTGCAAAAGGCTTTAGGAAAACTTTTAGAGCAAGATCCTTCAACCATACAAACTGATGAAGGGTTTAATCGACCACATGGTCCATGAATATTTTGCTTTAATACTATCTTATACAACTCGGATTGTACATTTCGATCCGGTAACTCAGCAGAGATAATATTATCAACGTCGTCTGCTGTTTTAATTTTATCTTCATTGGAAAGTGTAAATAAACAATGAGCATGTGGAAGACCACGCTTTTGATGCTCTATGGCATATACGTATGCCAAAATTTCTCCGAAAATTTTTCTTTTAACTATGTCATCTAAAAATTCTTTTAATTTCAAACGAAATACTCGAGTTACTAAATCTGGCCTATCAGATGAGGTTTGAAAAGGTTTAAGTTCGGATTTTACTTCTTCCCATTTAGGATTACATGTAAAAGTAATAAATAAATCAGGACGGTCAAATTTCCGAACTATCGCCATATTGTCCTGATATAATTTGGACCTAAAACGGGGACCATCAACATATGCTGGGTGAGTGTGGGTGTGGGTGTGGGTGTGCAAAAGGTAATATTCGCACCCGCACCCACACCCACACCCACACCCACACACCCACACCCACACCCACACCCACACCCACACCCACACCCACACC